TTTGCTAAGCAAATTATGAAGCGAAGGGATTGGTATGAAGCGGCCGTGATGCTGCATGCATACATGGGTACACATATGCAGCCGTATCTTCGGTAGCGGTGATTGGTAAGATGCCTACGGGAAACTCGTCCGAAATCGATTTACAAGTCACTGAGAACGGAGGCTTTTTCTTCGCAGGATTTTGACCGTTTCACTCCGTTCTTTCGCCATTTCCCCACTATACAGCGCCCTACTAGCATTTTAGGCTAAGTAGGAAACCATCGTGCCAACTGCCTTTAAGACAATTCCCGCGATCAAGTGTAACAGGTAGCAGGTGCTCAGTCATGAACCAGTAGCCCATCAAAACTCATCAGTAGAGAAAGAAGCGGAAAAAAGTTTGGGAACACCCTGAGCACAGAAAGCAGTGAGGCCGGCTCCTTGGACGAGTTCATCATGAGGACAAGCCTCATCAGCAGAATTCTAGGTGCAACCATTTAACAGCAAGAGCATAGGAAATCGCCCTACGACGTTTCAGGCAACGCTATGTACGCACGCAAGTCCGCTTGTAAGCCGTTGTCTTGCAGAGTTACAGTACTCGCTGCACCGGTTGCGAACACTCACGCATCTCTAGCTCAGCTATCTCGCCGTTTTGAGTGACGAAAGTGGTATATTCTCCATATTCTCCGCGATTTGGGACACCGATGCCAAATGCACTGGAGGCATTTCGATCACTCGAGTCGCGAGAACTGCCCTTGAGGGGCAAAAGACAAAGGCACTATTTCATCAGTCCCTTCTGGGTGTGATCCTGCATCCCTGATTTTGTGCTTTCTCCTATGGCAGCATAACTGCAGTGCACATCCTTAGGACTTATTGTTTCTCTACGTCGAACGGCCAAACTTTTCGGCTGAATTTAACCAACCCTGTTATACGGATTATCTGTGTGATAACAAGGAACGCAGGCGGGCTGTTTGGCTCCAGCGAGAGCCACCAACAGCCACGAAAACCTGAACCAGCAAACACTTTTCTCTGCATTTTGAGGGAATATGATAGGATCAAGGGCAGGAGGTGGAGTAGTGAAACAGGTGAGCGCCTCACCGCCGAGCCCTTGATGCAGTGTAAACTGTCTAGTTTCACTGTAACAGAGAGCTTAGTGTTAGACTGCCAGGGGACACCTGCAGGGTTTAACATCAGAAAAGCGGTAGGCTGCCTGGGAAAGTACAAGGTTGCTGCAAGGTGCCCTAAACCTAGCAGTTATACATGTCTTGTTATCACAAGAATGCTGAGTTGTGGGCAAAAGTCGGACCACGGGCGGGACTCGAACCCGCATCTTCTGCTTACCGGGCAGTTGCGTTACCACTTACGCTACCGGGGCCACTTTTGACCTCTCAGCTCAATGGCTATTTGTGCCATTGCCTTCGAGCACTCACACGTTCAACGTGATGATAACTTTCGTATCGCGCACTGCGGCGTAAACAGCAGTTTCAACAAAAACAGTCTAAAACTTGTAAAAAGCCTTCAGCCTTGCGGTTCACTGCCGATATCGGCTAACCGGCTCATCACGTTGAACGTGTGAGTGCTCGAAGGCAATGGCACAAATAGCCATTGAGCTGAGAGGTCAAAAGTGGCCCCGGTAGCGTAAGTGGTAACGCAACTGCCCGGTAAGCAGAAGATGCGGGTTCGAGTCCCGCCCGTGGTCCGACTTTTGCCCACAACTCAGCATTCTTGTGATAACTTTCGTATCGCGCACTGCGGCGTAAAACAGCAGTTATCAAAAAAACAGTCTTTCTATGCTCTCCTTTTGTTTGTGTGCTTTATTTATCTCTGGCCTCTCTCCCGATGTCCACAATGATTGTTTGTCTCTCGCGTGGCACAAATAGGGCCTTATTTGAAGTCTTCGCGACCGCTTCTTTTCCATTTTCTCTTCACGAGAAAGCCAACTAGCGCGTACAATTCTTTTCTCAACCTCACCACCGACGAACTTTTCGCTGTCTCGTCGCGATTTTTGCCTTCAAGGCGTGAAACGTAGTGGTGAAACGCACTGTATATTACCAAGGTTTGATGAGTTAAAAAAACCAGTTTAAATTAAAACTTTTCGTGTTGACGACGAATTTCCTTCAAATAAGTATTTCATCTTATTTCGCAATATAACATTGTTACCACTGTACAAAGAATTCTTTCATAATATCTACGGGAAATTGACAGCTTCATACTGCTAATGGCAGTGATGATTGAAAGGTCCACTCACAAGGTTGTCATCGATAAGAGAACACCGCAAAAATGATAAGGATTATTTCCTTTCGAGGCTCACTAGCAAACAACTACTTTTCTTATTCATTACTCGAACTTTAATCCTCAGCCATGCAATAATATTCTTTCTGTGTTGTTCCATTGCTTATACATGCTTATACATGGGGCATATCTTGCCTTGTAAGGAATAACTAATCTAATGGTTCTTCAACGCCCCCAACACGAGGTGCCCTTTTAAACAGGGTTTTGAAGACTACTGATGGAAGAACTTGTAGTCAGATAGCTGTCATTATGTATGTAGGACCTACCAATTGTGCAAATAAACCGCCTTTAGATAGCCATACAGACCAACATTACATGCGTGCTCGGAAACATTTGAGTATATAGGAACTGTTTGAGTAAATAGTGCATACCGAAAATAAAACAAAGTAAAGTAAAATTTGTGAAAAGCTTAAAATTGCATTGGGTTTGTCCACAAGTCTTGCACGAGAGCTCACACATTTTTAAAAATTTGTAACTTATGGTGCATATTTGTGATCAGCTATACTGCTTATCCCTGAGACAGGGTAGGGTGGATTTGGGCATGGCACAGGATGGGTTACTCGTACGATATTCCAGTTTAGACAACTGTCATCTTGTTCTGTGTTGGACAAAGACATGATTACAACTGTCCCAAAATGAAATATCTCACGAAAAGCTTAGCCGCCACCACGTTCAATCCAAGTACGCAGCCACGCCTACCACATCTCAAGGATTTCGATGTACATACAGTTCGAATTTGGGAGGTAGAGAGGGCGTGGCTCTGAGAACTCATGTGTGCATGGAGTTTTTCGTGGAATACGTCCATCCAAAGCATCTGTCGTCCAGTTGTGTGCTGAACAAAGACATTTTTAGAACTGTCTCGAAACGGAAATATCTCACCAAAAGCGCAGCCGTCGCCAGGCTCAAATGAAAAACGTAGCCAAACCATTCATATATCTGGGATGTGAGGTGAATGCTAAATGCTTCCCAGCAATTCAGAACTTCTGCATTTGCGAGCTGAAGAAAGGCGGAGTCTCTCCTCCCAGTTTTGACTGCTGCACTTCCCAGTTTCGCCTGTAATGTTGAAATCTCAGATGTGCACAAATCTAAATAAACTATTATTCTTACGGAGTAATAGAGGACACTTCCGTGGGAGTAGTTTGCCGCCCCTCTCCCCCCTCCGCGCAAGGTTTTTGAAGAGAGCTGGAACACGGAAGCGTTTTTCTAGACCACTCCTCACGATTGCAGAGCACGACTACATTTGAATTCCAATTTAAATGTCCCATTTAAAAAACCCTGCGACTGTGGATAGTGGCGCTCCCTTCAAACCTATGGTCGCTAAATAACTCTCTAGGGAAGAAGAAAAAGCCAAAAAAGAACCATGGCGAAGTGAGGACCTGGCAGCTTCTTTGGACGAGTTTTCTGGACCTGCTCGTTTTGTACCAGCAAAGCTATATCCTGCCACCTCCAGCTCAATAATGGTTTCTGCGCGTCATTCAATACTAAAACCATCGAACAATGAAAGAAATACGGAAAACAGTTTGTAAGAACTGAACTTGTGACAGGAAATAGCCTCTGAGTTTCGGTGGGGGGGACAGCTGGGAAGGCATCAGAAATGCCAATTATGATAACCAAAGCGCCTTGATCATTTACTGTGGCGCCGCGAATGCAGGATAATCTCAGAGACTGAGGGCCAGAGCACTTGTACATGGAGGGACGCTACGATTTGCCAGAGCGCGAGGATTGCCTTTGAAGAGAATGCAGAATAGCGCTCTCGGCCGGTCAGAGAGAGATGCGGATTCGAGTCTCTCCTGGGGTTTCATTTCTGCCCATAACTTCCCACTTCACTGTCAATATCTGCCTACCGGCTCATCACGTTAAGCGGGTGTGTGCTGGAAGGCTATGACGCGAAAGTTATTAAGCTGGGAAGGTAAAAGCGGCCCCGGTGGCGTAATGGAAAGCGCGCTGTCCCGGTCAGCGGCAGATAGGGTTCGTTTCCTATGGAGGTCTGGCTTTTGCTCCAAGTTCAGTCTTGTGACATTTTTGTGTTTGCAGTATTCGTTTTGAGAGTACCCCTAGTTAAACTTCCCATAGTTACAAAGAGTCGCATGGGAGAAGTTTCATAGTTGTATTTGGCAAATCGCTCAGCAAATCCCAAAGAAAGGTTTCAATTCAGCCTCTCAATGCAGTGTACTCCTGAAAGCTTCACTGCAAATGACCTAATGGGGTTCAATTGTACACTTGGTTTTGGTGCCATCTTGGCGCCATCATTTTTCTATCTGATTTATTTATGTACATACGGAGACAATGTAGTGTCATGACCAGGAGATGGCATCCATTATCAACACTGGCTCTGAGAAATATATGTCATTTTCGTTATCAGAGCTTTTCATAATTTTTGTGGCAAAACTCCATTGAAATATGCTCTAGATTCTGGCACTGTAATGAGAGAACAGTGCCAGAATACCTCCGATTCTGGCTCAGGATACGGGTATACCGCAGTTCAAACAGATGTTGCAGCAACAGTCAAAGTTATTTACTCTTCAGATTTTTTAACCGTCCTGAAATGCTGGCTTCCTTTTTACACCTGATCGTTGACAAGACAAGGAAGGACTCGTCGAGGCCACGCCGCGTACATTGAAGATCCCCAGCGGAGACAAGTAGTTTTTAGTCAGTGACTGTCTCACACGTACTGCGACCCTGACGAAAGGCTGTTGGGAGAAAAGCAAAAAATACGTCATCGATACGGAGAGAATCAGCCAACCTCGCTTAGTGTTCGCTCAAGACCGCCGCGTTACTGCTGATTGGGCCGAAAGAGCAATAAATGCGCTCGATTTCGCTGGCGAAAAACGGGCACAGGCGCGATCGAGCTAGCGGTTTCGAGAAGGCGGAAAAAAGCGTCTGTGGTTTGGTGCGAACGCCCCCGTCGTATGTCGTAATCAAAACCCTTTCGCAAACCACCAGTCGAAACCTATCAAAGCTTTTGCGTCGAACCGCTGCGTTTCCGAAGAGAAGACGCGGGCCGCCAGACTGTGAACACAAGCCTGAGTGGGAGTGGGGTCGCCATTTGCTTTTGAGACAAATATTTTTTATACCGCGTTCACAAGAAAATTTACGGGCGCTGTATATCCTCTCGCTACCCCGCGCACGACGGCAGTTTTTCCAGTTTTTCTTGGAGGACTGCAGAAATTCTCTCTAGAAGTGGTAGGAACTCGAGAATTTTAAGAAGGAGACCTACGTAAGACGGGAGACCGGGGAAGTGGGGGGGGGCGGCCATACTAGAGGTGAGAGTTCTTGGAGTTTTCCTCTTTCATTCCTCTTCCTATGAGTTCTGCAAACATTTTCCTCCAACGGAAGGGCGTGCCCTGTCTCCAGTATTTTCGAGCTCACGCAAATACTTCCCAATCCCGCAAAGCCATGGACCTTCCAAATAGCCCAGGTTGATACGTGGTAGTTTTGGTACGACTATTATTCGGTTCGTTGATTGCAACCTGTACGAAGTAGGATCAAGAGAGGCTGATCACTGTGAGCGGAAATAAATGCGTGCGAACGGAATTATTATGCAAACTCAGAAAGCAATCGATATAACTGAACAGATAGTCATTACATCCGTTTCCGTGCGATATGTCGTGCCTCGATTTTTTCCGCCGTTTCACGGAATGTGAGTTTTTATCTGAACTAAGCATATTTAATAGTAGTAGCATGTAATAGCAATGGTAGTTCCATATGGTTCCAAACGATAATTCGATACCCTGTAGATGGGGAGGGCGTGGATGCATACCTCGTTTGAACCTATTTAATTTATTTATTTATTTATTTATTTATTTATTTATTTATTCAATGCACGCAGAGGTGCGCCTTACATCACTTAAGTTGTAACAAATCAAAGCGAGCCACAATCTTACCTAGCACAAACTTTGGTAATACAATAACTAAAATAGGGATCGAGGTCCCAGTCAGAACTTGGCTAGAAGAAAAGAAGAGTTTGTAACAGAGTCAGTCCTTCAACACTTATAGGGATATGAGGCAGCTACTCCTCATTGACTCGATCATGTTAACTTCAGCGGCGGATGACGCTGGGGAAAACGTCACTCCTAGACGACAACCAAACATGGAATAGGAAACTGAATTTTCGGATGTTAGGTATTCCCTATCCCTAACAATTCAGCTTCCTACCCGCCAACTCTAAGTTGTTCACTAACAGTTTATCGGACTGACAGTGCCTCTAGGTGCGGGCTCTAGGTGGTAAATGGCCAAACGGACTGGAGACCTCCACCTCTAGTACACGTCCGGTGGAAAGTAAGATCGACAGAACGTGGGTAGTGAAAATAAAGAAAAACAAACAGAAACAAAAACACAAGGGGTTAGATACGAAAGAATTAACGAGAAGAAACATCGCGGCTTTTCCATCTTGACTGGACTGGACTGTGGGTTGTGAGCGAAGCGCAGTGCTGATGAGAGGGCGCAATTGACTGAAAAGATGAAATCAAGAGACATAGACTGGACTTAGATAAGCAGGGACCTCAAAAATCTTCTATACCAAGAAGTGATAACAAAAAATTAAACCAACAAATTAACTTTCCTCAGCTTACTCTTGAAAGCGCAGATGTTGCGAACCTCTAGAAGTTCAGACGGGAGGAGCTGGAAGCCATCTCGCCCCACGAAACCTAGCGCCCCACACGCAAGGCTAGCGTAAGATACGTTTTCCGTGAGGTAATTCTATTTGAGACAAGTGTCATGTTATCTTGTGCTGCTCACATATGTGATTACGATCAGTGCACGTCCTACCACTTCTTGATAT